AAGGGTCTATAGTTAAGTGAATTGTTGTTGGACTGAAGAACAAGTCAACAAGTCCAATTGTTTAATGCCACAGTATCACATCATCATATTTCTAAATATAAGTGGTAGAAACAGCTGCTATGATATATTGATGCTAAAATCTACCACAAGATAATCAGAAAATGGTTTTTGGGAGGTTGATTGGATTTTTGGCTCATTTGGCAATCAGATTTAATGTATGTAATGAAAAAAAGGGAAAGGTTGCTTCAAACAAAGATAGCAGTGTTTTGTGGAAGGGTAGAAGAACATCATGTAAATAATGTGAACAATCTATTCATTTGAGGGTCAGAGTAGTCATTGCTACGCAGAACTGTTCTTCTATTTTTAGATTGTTGATCCTTGCTATTCATATTAACATTTAACTTGACTTTTTTTACAGAACTCATTTACTGTTGTGTTCTATACCCTGGTCATTTTATAGCAAACAATAGCAAAATAACCCCCATTTTCTAAACTATTGATGGAAAAAAAGAGCTGTAATGAGCGGAGGAGGAGGGGATGAGAAAGATTTTACCTTAATTATGTTTAGTTGTAGTTGTAATCTCAGCATTATTTTAAATTCTAGTGATAAAGATAAAAAAAAGAAATGATAAGTTTATTTGGTTTTTTTTTACTTCAGAATTTAAATGCTGATCCAGAAGAAATACCGATAGATACTAATGTTATCACTGTCACAAGAGATCTGGCAGTTTTACCACAGAGGACCTACTACATTGAGGTGAGTATATGATCATTTTTTACCGTAAATTACACACAGTTTATTATGCATAGAATGTTGTATTTTCAAGACCAATGCTCTATCCAAAAATTCAGATATTTAGTTGTATTGATGCTAAAACAACAAAATCGACCACAAGATTGTGGTAAAGGCCATTATTTCTTATCCCTAAAGATGAAATTGAGAAATGTCATAGACACATGTACATGTACGTAAAGGAAACTTTTAAGCCTATGTCAATGTTTTGTATTGGCAGTCTAGATCTGTCCCTCATCAGTCAATTTGTCTGTCGGTCCAAATTCTTTGTTATACTATTTTCAAAGATGCTGTAAATATGTAAACCTAATTCAAACCACAAAATGGAAGTCAAGTATCAGAGGTTACATTCTCTTTGTCATACATAGTTAGATATAAAACTACATAAATAGACCATATATAGGAATATGTAATATTAACTATACTTACACTGTTTTCCAACTTGTACAGGTGTATCTCAAACACTTGTGTCACACATTGTACATGTCTAATACTTGATTGTGTCACACATTGTACAGGTCTAATACTTAATTGTGTTACACATTGTACAGGTCTAATACTTGATTGAGTCACACATTGTACAGGTCTATAATACTTGATTGTGTCACACATTGTATAGATGCATTTCTAACACTTGTGTCTAACATTGTATAGATGTATCTCTTACACTTGTGTGTATAACATTGTATAGATGTATTTCAACCACTTGTGTCTAACATTGAAAAGATGTTTATCTAACACTTGTGTCTAACATTGTATAGATGTATCTCTAACACTTGCATCACACATTGTATAGATGTATCTCAAACACTTATGTCTAACATTGTATAGATGTATCTCTAACACTTGTGTCTATTATTGTATAAATGTACCTCTAACACTTGTGTCTAACATCGTATAGATGTATCTCTAACACTTGTGTCTAACATTGTATAGATGTATATCTAACACTTGCGTCACACATTGTATAGATGTATCTCAAACACTTATGTCTAACATTGTATAGATGTATCTCTAACATTTTGTCTAACATTGTATAGATGTATCTCTAACACTTGTGTCTATCATTGTATAGATGTACCTCTAACACTTGTGTCTAACATTGTATAGATTTATCTCAAACCCTTGTTTCTAACATTGTATAAATGTACCTCTAACACTTGTGTTTAACATTGTATAGATGTATCTCTTACACTTGTGTCTAACATTGTATAGATGTATCTCGACAAACACCTGTGTCTTACATTGTATAGATGTATCTCAACGTTTTTATCTAACATTGTATAGATGTATCTCAAACACTTGTGTCTCACATTGTATTGATGCATCTCTAACACTTGTATCTAACATTGTATAGATGTATCTCTAACACTTGTGTCTAACATTGTATTGATGCATCTCTAACACTTGTGTCTAACATTGTATAGATGTATCTCTAACACTTGTGTCTATAACATTGTATAGATGTATCTCAACACTTTTATCTAACATTGTATAGATGTATCTCTAACACTTGTGTCTAACATTGTATAGATGCATCTCTAACACTTGTGTCTAACATTGTATAGATGTATCTCTAACACTTGTGTCTAACATTGTATAGATGTTTATCTAACACTTTTGTCTAACATTGTAGATGTATCTCTAACATTTGTGTCTAACATTGTATTGATGTATCTCTAACACATGTGTCTAACATTGTATAGATGTATCTCTAACACTCGTGTCTATAACATTGTATAGATGTATCTCAACACTTTTATCTAACATTGTTTAGATGTATCTCTAACATTTGTGTCTACACAGGGTAGATGTATCTAACACATGTGTCTAACATTGTATAGATGTATCTCTAACACTTGTGTCTATAACATTGTATAGATATATCTAACACTTTTGTCTAACATGGTAGATGTATCTCTAACACTTGTGTACCACACATTGTACAGGTGACAAGTGTTTCTATAAAACATGTAACACACATTTTACATGTGAATCTCTTACACTTGTATCACTCATTGTTTAAGGTATATTTCTAGCACATGTACCATTTTTACAGGTGTATGCTGTAGGTAATAACACTGATGGAGTTGTCTATAATGGGTTCAAAAGCTTCAATACCTATATGGCCCCTGCAGGACGTAAGTATCTCATTTCATGTTAGACTGGAACTCTAGTTTGGCTATGTATTTCTATGTCTACCATTAGCAGTAAAGCTGACATTGTAGCGCAACGTAATGGATGCAGCAAAATTGTTGAATAATGCCTTCGGAATGCCATTCCATAAGTGAACTAACACATGGGAAAGCTCAGCCTACATCACAGGCCGATTTTATAGTAAACATTGCCAATGGTGCACCTCGTCCCATACATGCTCAATGGACAAAAGATCAGATGATACTGCAGGCTGTGGCACCACATCCACATCAGCCTACATCACAGGCCGATTTTATAGTAAACATTGCCAATGGCGGCGCACCTCGTCCCATACATGCTCAATGGACAAAAGATCAGATGATACTGCAGGCTGTGGCACCTCATCCACATTCTGCTGAATCAGGAATTCATGTTGCAGCATATTTTGACATTCTTACACAAATAGGAAACGGGATGATTTGGACTTTCAGGATCTCTTTGCAGTAGCTTGCACTGTCAAATTCCATCCATGACCACCAAAGGCATTGTGTCATTCACTGTTATGACCACCAAAGGCATCGTGTCATTCACTGTTATGACCACCAAAGGCATTGTGTCATTCACTGTTATGACCACCAAAGGCATCGTGTCATTCACTGTTATGACCACCAAAGGCATTGTGTCATTCACTGTTATGACCACCAAAGGCATTGTGTCATTCACTGTTATGACCACCAAAGGCATTGTGTCATTCACTGTTATGACCACCAAAGGCATTGTGTCATTCACTGTTATGACCACCAAAGGCATTGTGTCATTCACTGTTATGCTGCTCCAGACCTTCACACATAGTTGTCCAGAAAAGCGCTTTCTAATGGGAAGGTACACATTGGATGGCTGTCACTGTATAGTCCAAGTGGAACCAACTATCGACTCATCTGAAAACAGAATGGAGATGACTCCTGCACCAAGTAATGACACCATGAGGTCGCTGCAGAACAGGGCAGACAGCTGGATATTGTGGATGTTCAGTTCTTGCACTGATTCTCAATAATCAAGAAATGCTTCTCGCCATCAAAGCTGCTGTTTGGAAGTGGTTCTGGATGTAGTTGTACTGATGTAATGATGTCACGTGTAGACATCCTGACCTGGGGCAGTCCCTGGTACTGGTGTTACCAGACTGATGTAATGACGTCACGTGTAGACATCCTAACCTGGGGCAGTCCCTGGTACTGGTGTTGCCAGACTGATGGAAACATCTCCATTGGGCATGAATAGTGTTCTGATGCCTACAAACCCATCTAGTAACAGCATTTTGTTTTTGTCAATACCAGTCTGAATCATTCCAACCATTTGGTTGTGGATATTTTGACTCGGTTCAGGAATACGTGTAGACATCCTGACCTGGGGCAGTCCCGGGGACTGGTGTAATGATGTCACGTGTAGACATCCTGGCCTGGGGCAGTCCCTGGTACTGGTGTTACCAGACTGATGTAATGACGTCACGTGTAGACATCCTAACCTGGGGCAGTCCCTGGTGCTGGTGTAATGATGTCACGTGTAGACATCCTGGCCTGGGGCAGTCCCTGGTACTGGTGTTACCAGACTGATGGAAACATCTCCATTGGGCATGAATAGTGTTCTGATGCCTACAAACCCATCTAGTAACAGCATTTTGTTTTTGTCAATACCAGTCTGAATCATTCCAACCATTTGGTTGTGGATATTTTGACTCGGTTCAGGAATACGTGTAGACATCCTGACCTGGGGCAGTCCCTTGTACTGGTGTAATGATTTCACGTGTATACATTCTAACCTGGGGCAGTCCCTGATACTGGTGTAATGATGTCACATGTATACATTCTAACCTGGGGCAGTCCCTGATACTGATGTAATGATGTCACGTGTAGACATCCTAACCATGGGGCAGTCCCTGGTACTGGTGTAATGATGTCACGTGTAGACATCCTGACCTGGGGCAGTCCGTGGTACTGGTGTAATGATGTCACGTGTAGACATCCTGCCCTGGGGCAGTCCCTGGTACTGGTGTAATGATGTCACATGTATACATTCTAACCTGGGGCAGTCCCTGATACTGGTGTAATGATGTCACATTTATACATTCTAACCTGGGGCAGTCCCTGATACTGGTGTAATGATGTCACATTTATACATTCTAACCTGGGGCAGTCCCTGATACTGGTGTTCCCAGACTGATGTAATGATGTCACGTGTAGACATCCTAACCTGGGACAGTCCCTGGTACTGGTGTAATGATGTCACGGGTAGACATCCTGACCTGGGGCAGTCCCTGGTACTGATGTAATGATGTCACATGTATACATTCTAACCTGGGGCAGTCCCTGATACTGGTGTAATGATGTCACATGTATACATTCTAACCTGGGGCAGTCCCTGATACTGGTGTAATGATGTCACATTTATACATTCTAACCTGGGGCAGTCCCTGATACTGGTGTTACCATACTGATGTAATGATGTCACGTGTAGACATCCTGTCCTGGGGCAGTCCCTGGTACTGGTGTAATGATGTCACGGGTAGACATCCTGACCTGGGGCAGTCCCTGGTACTGATGTAATGATGTCACGTGTAGACATCCATCAAAGCTGCTGTTTGGAAGTGGTTCTGGATGTAGTTGTACTGCTGTAATGATGTCACGTGTAGACATCCTGACCTAGGGCAGTCCCTGGTACTGGTGTAATGATGTCACATGTATACATTCTAACCTGGGGCAGTCCCTGATACTGGTGTTCCCAGACTGATGTAATGATGTCACGTGTAGACATCCATCAAAGCTGCTGTTTGGAAGTGGTTCTGGATGTAGTTGTACTGCTGTAATGATGTCACGTGTAGACATCCTGACCTGGGGCAGGCCCTGGTACTGGTGTAATGATGTCACGTGTATACATTCTAACCTGGGGCAGTCCCTGGTACTGGTGTAATGAGGTCACGTGTAGACATCCTAACCTGGGGCAGTCTCTGGTACTGGTGTTACCAGACTGATGTAATGACGTCACGTGTAGACATCCTAACCTGGGGCAGTCCCTGGTACTGGTGTAACCAGACTGATGGAAACATCTCCATTGGGCATGAATAGTGTTCTGATGCCTACCAACCCATCTAGTAACAGCATTTTGTTTTTGTCAATACCAGTCTGAATCATTCCAACCATTTGGTTGTGGATATTTTGACTCAGTTCAGGAATATAGCTTACCAAACACATTTAACAAGAATACATTTATTTCTATTTTTGTTTTTGATGTACAGATTTACACGACAGTAAGGAGGATTGTAAATATTGTCAAACTTGTTTTGGATATAAAGATTTACAAGACAATAAAAAATATGATAAATATTGTCAAACTTCACTTGTCTTGGTTGTAAAGATTTATAAAACCATAACGAGGATTGTAAATATCGTCAAACTTGTTTTGAATATAAAGATTTACAAGACAATAAAAAGTATGATAAATATTGTCAAACTTCACTTGGATGTAAAGATTTACAAAAACAATAACAAGAACAGTAAAGAACGAAAAATGAGAAATTTAGCACGTGCATATTAATATTAACACAATTACATTCACTCTTGAAGGTTGTTACAGATTGTATAGTGTACAATCATGTTACTTGTTGAAAAATTCCTTATATAGTGTTTACATTTCAATTTTATGTATACGCAGTTTGTTTTTTCTTTCTGTTAGTATTATATAAGCTGGCAAGTTGATGACCGATTCAGTTTTACCAGCGATAAGTTAACTTGTATTGGGATTTGTATTAAATGCAGTCTGTTTTGTTTGTGTCATGATTGGGTGATTATTCTATGGACATTCAACATGATTTCACCGGTAAAACTTATTACTATTCACCATGTCTTCCAAGGAAAATTTAAACTTCATGGAAACAACTTTTTTTGAAATCTGCCATGTGTGACTGGTAAATTGAAAATATAATAACTGAACAATGCCATATCATGTTAGCGATAACTCTTAGTGATGGTTTATTTGCTACCGAAGAAACAAAGTTATAAGTTAGGCCACCTCAGGAAACATCATTATTTCAATGAAGAGGCCACCTCAGGAAACATTATTTCAATGAAGAGGCCACCTCAGGAAACATCTTTATTTCAATGAAGAGGCCACCGCAGGAAACATCATTATTTTTCAATCAAGACACCAACGCAGGAAACATCTTTATTTCAATGAAGAGGCCAATGCACGAAACATCTTTATTTCAATGAAGAGGCCACCGCAGGAAACATCTTTATTTCAATGAAGAGGCCACTCAGGAAACATTTTTATTTCAATGAAGAGGCCAACGCAGGAAACAGCTTTATTTCAATGAAGAGGCCAATGCAGAAAACATCTTCATTTCAATGAAGATGTATTTAATCATAACTCAGCCAAAAATCTGGTTGCTGATGAAATCACACTTACGTTTCTGAGCTATTTAGAAAGTCTCTATTGATCTATTGTCCTGACTGAAATGACAAATTGTCAAAAACACTTTCAAGTTTTGTTTACCATCATAACTATCAAGAAATGTATGTGGAAATGTGCACTGCCATGGGGTTGAGAGTCGGCTTCGAGTTTAATCAATAAGGGGTCCTTTAATTGGTCAGCCATGTCGGGTCAAACTTTGCTAAACAACCCCTTTTATTAAACGAATGGTAAGTGAATTTCCTTTTGTAGGTTGCTTAATACAAATTTGACTAGTTCTTGTGTGCCACACTGTGGTCTCACTGTCTCCATCATATATTCTGTGGATAAAACGTTTATGTAGTAGAACGAATGCAGTTGGATGTATGGATGCACCCCCAGAATCATCAGTAATTATGTGTACTTGTAGCCCCACCTTTGGATGTAGGAGAAACAGTAATCCCGACCAGCAGTAATACCAACATTCAAGCAACACAGACTTCATTCACACTGACACTTACGGAAGGCTTTTTCTCGAACGACCTATATGGCCATATAGAAGATTCCTCTTTGGTGCTGTGTAAAGGTTCCTGTACAAATCTTGGTAGGTTGTTTACCAGTAAACATACAATCATTCTGTATGTGCACTTTAAAACTGACCAACATTTACAATGTTAGATGTGTAATGAAAAAGACTGTCTTTTAATTTTTATTAAACGCCCGTCAAATTTTGACGGGAGTATTATGGTATGGGGTTGTCCGGCCAGCGTAAACTTTTGTTTGTCCGGCAATCTCCTCCTACATTTTTCGACCAATCTCTTTGAAACTTTGTAAATATTATCATCATGATATGAAGTTGTGTCTCCCTTAACAGAATTTTGATTCAACAGTTTTTCCAAAAGTTATTGCCCTTTGTTCATTTCAGTATTTGATTTTTTAAAGTTTTAAAGTTTTAAAAATAACTGGTCTAAAACATGCTTCTAGAATTTTCCAGGTAATGATTTCATCATCACAAAAGTCATGCAACTTGTTGATTTTTTTTTTAAATGTCAACATTGCAGACTTGGAAAAATATCTTTTTAAATCATTGTTCTTTCCTGTCTAGTTGACAATTAGTGTTTGAAGATGCATTTTCTTTCCCATCAAGGTGAGCAATTCTTTTTCAAAGCATCTTTTTTTTCTATCTAGGTGACATGTCAGAAGCAAAATCACATGATTACTTGACCAACCTAGTTGGTTGGAAAGATGCTCGTGCAAATGGTTATCCAGGCGAATACAGGGCAATGTCAAATTCTGAGTTTACCACATATCTCGATCAAGGTATGTATAGCTATATTGTTCTATTTGTGCTGGACAGAAAACCAGGTTTACTTAAAAATTAAATGTAGGGAAGATCCCAGCCAAAAAAGTAGGCAATGCACCGAACCAAGAACAGTAAGATTCCTGTGTGGGAAAAAAATGCAATGAAATTTAGATGATATTAAATACGAATGTTACTTTTTAATTGGCTGATTGTTTAACAGAATTGATAACTTAAAACTGAGGAGATTCTGGTTAGTAAACAGTCCGAGTACTGGGCAAAATTATCCTCCCAAGTTGTTTGCTCAATATTTTGTACATATTCTATTTCCAGATGTTTTTTTGTGTTCACATATTAAGTTAAGTTTTAGGATTACTAAGTCAACAATTTGTAATTTATGTTTATAAATCTTTTATTGATATAATTAGTAAAGTAAGGACACTAATATATAACTCTTTTGTGTTGCAGCAAGTACATCTGGTCGACGTAAGAGGGCAACCAAAACATTTGTGGTTGAGATTGGGACAGGGAAAAACTGTGTAACATCAACAGAAACCTATTGTAATGGACCACTGGAAGCAGGCTCAATTTATGTGTATGTTTTATGCTTCAAATATTTTTCTCCATTGTTAGCTCACCGGGTCCGGTCTGCGTCAACTTTTAGACAACTTCTTCTCAGCAACCAAAAGGCCTAGGGTGATGATATTTGGCCAGAAGCATGCTTGGATGAAGGGCTACCAATTTTGTTCAAATAAATAACGTTCATCCATTTTCAAGGTCACAGGGGTCAAATATGTTAAAATCTTTAAACAACATCTTCTGAATATTTAGCCAGTAACATGCTGGGATGAAGGGCTACCATGGTTGTTCAAATAAATTACCTTGACTTATATTCAAGGTCGCAGGGGTCAAATATGTTTATAACCGTTAAACAACTTCTTCTGAATAACCAAGAGGCCTAGGGTGATGATATTTGGCCAGTAACATGCTGGGATGAAGAGCTACCAAGTTTGTTCAAATGAATGACCTTGACCTCTAATCAAGGTCACAGGGGTCAAATATGTTTAAAACATTTAAACAACTTCTTCTTAATAACCAAGCGGCCTAGGGTGATGATATTTGGCCAGTTACATGCTGGGATGAAGGACTACCAATTTTGTTCAAATATATGACCTTGACATATATTCAAGGTCACAGGGGTCAAATATGGTTAAAACATTTAAACAACTTCTTATTAATAACCAAGAGGCCTAGGGTGATGATATTTGGCCTGTAACATGCTGGGATGAAGGACTACCAATTTTGTTCAAATATATGACCTTGACATATATTCAAGGTCACAGGAGTCAAATATGTTTTAAATATTTAAACAAATTCTTATGAATAACCGAGAGACCTAGGGTGCTTTAATTTGGCCAGTAACATGCTGGGATGAAGGGCTACCAAATTTGTTCAAATAAATTACCTTGACTTATATTCAAGGTCACATATGTTTAAAACATTGAAACAACTTCTTATGAATAACCCAAAGGCCTATAGGGTGCTTACATTTGGCCAGTAACATGCTCGGATGAAGGGCTACCAAGTTTGTTCAAATGAATGACCATCGCCCATATTCAAGGTCACAGTGGTCAATATATGTTTAAATCTTTAAATGATTTGTTCTGTATAACCAAGAGGTCCAGGGTAATGATATTTTGCTAGAAGCATGCTGGGTTGGAAGACTATAAACTCTGTTCAACCTTATCAGTGTCCTTGTTCGACATTCAAGGTCACAGGCGTCATATGTTTAAATCTTTTAATCGGGTCTTATGAATTAAACAGTGATATTCTGCCTGTTGTTGTATATTAGTCCACTTTTAAGATTACAAGAGTGAGATTAATACCAGGTGAGCGATTCAGGCCCATTGGGCCTCTTGTTTATATTCATAAAATATTAATCTGGGATGAGTATTTTATGCAAAAGGTATTCATCCAGAAAGGTTTTTATGGGAATAAACATTTAATAAGACACCAGAACTAGATTGAAGGGAACTACAGGTTTGCAACCTCTGTGTGTGTGTCATGTTTTTGGTCTGGAATAGAGTGAGAAATCCCAAACGTATTCAGAAAGGGGTGTAATAGTCAGTGTTTCAGTTGTGCAGGTTCATGAAAAGTAATTGAAAGTATAGGTAATTATCTATAATACACTAACTATATGCTATAAGTGTTACACTATAGGCTATGAATTTTATACCACAGGCTATAAATGGTACAACACATGCTATGAACATTACACCATAAGCTATAAATGTTACACCATAGTTTATTAATGATACACCATAAGCTATACATGTGATTCTACTGGCTGTAGGTTGACCTCTGTGCCTCTTAGAAAGGAATGATTGGTGTTTGATGATTTTTGTTTTAGATATTCATGTGTACAGCTTGAGGCTAACATCTTTCCCGTTTATGACCAATGAATTATGTTTGATGAATGGTGTTTGTGTTTCAGTGTGAAGGCAGTTGTGTGTACTGCAGGAGGTTGTACATTGTCCTCGCTTTATGGACCATATTCAACAGAGAAAGGTATTCCTCACTGTATAAATCACCATTTCAATCATATACTAACATTTTGCTAAGGATCATCTATATTTTGAAAAAAATTTATCAAAATGTTAGAAAGGATATTATTATTTTTCCTTCCTTACTGTTTTGGGCGAAAATGTTAGCCTTCCAAATCATTCTGTGTGGGTGTGGTCAGTCAACCATAAAAGCGAGTGCATGCTTTTCCACGTGTACACCCCTTAGTTTCAAAAGCTAAGCTAGGCTAAGTAAGGCATTGTTCAAATTGTTAAGGAAATCGATTTGATGAACATTCTTTGCATGTTTTTGTTTTAATATGGCATATAGACGAACCAGATAACGGTTAAATGACGGTGAAATGACTAGCTAGCATGTATCAACATCACGTTGCAGCAGACCTTGGGGTGTCTTAAAGTGTGGTGGAAAGAATGTGGAATCGTTTCCAAACTAACGGAAACCCTTCCAGACGTCATTCTAGGGCTACAACGCAGCGCCAAGACTGATTTTTGCTCATACAGGCACGGCGTCACAGCTTTACGAAATGACCTCATAAATGCTTCTGGTTCCCGGGTAGCCACTCAGATAGTTAGGAACCATCTTCATGATGCTGGTTTAAGGTCACGTAGACCAGCAATATGAGTTCCCTTAACTGCCCGCCATGTTAGGGACCGATTAGTTTGGGCCCAAGCTCACAGCACTTGGACTCTTCAGGAATGGGAACCAGGGCCCGTATTCATGAAACCGTTCTCATGCTCAAGCATGGATTTTGTGCTCCAGTCTAATTTCTTGTTCCAGTTATAAATTATTTAAAAAATCTTATTTTGTTAAAGTTTGGGAGAAAAATTGAAGAAACTTGAAGCCGAATACTGTTTTCAATATTTAAATTTGACTTTTTGATCGTTGACATGATTTAGAATGGTTACAAGAAAGCTGGCTTGAGCACAGAATCCATGCTTGAGCATGAGAATGGTTTCATGAATACGTGCCCAGTTCTTTATACTGATGAGTCCAGATTCTGTCTCGACTTCACTGCCAGGCGCGTTAGAGTATGGAGACAACCTGGGAAGGTTCCAGGCAGGTAATGTTATGGAACATGAATGATATGGCAGAGGTTCAGTGATGGTGTGGGGAGGCATAAGCCTTCGTGGGAAAACTGACCTCCATGTTTTCCAAAATGGTACCGTTATGGCCCGGATTTACTGCGATGAAATCCTTGATGCTTATGTCAGACCCTACATTGGTGCTATCGGCCCTGACTTCATCCTTATGGACGATAATGCTAGGCCACATAGAGGGAAGGTGACTGAGTAGTATCTACAGAAAGCGACTATTCAACGAATGGATTGGCCAGTCCGCTCGCCAGATCTAAATCCCATCGAGCATGCGTGGGACATGCTGCAGACAGCTCTTTCTGCCAGAAATGTTCAGCCAAGAACGCTCCAGGAGCCAGGAACAGCTTTGGTAGCTGAGTGGAACGCTATCCCACAAAACCAGATACGCGATCTCATTCGGGGCATGGGCAGACGTTGTGAAACTGTAATTGATGCTCATGGGCATCACACTCCATACTAAAACAGTTTTGTTCAATTTAAGTTTTGTAGTGAATACCTTGTTGTTACCAATTTTAAGGGTAACCTTTTTCCTGTGGCTCATTTACCTATTGTAATCACAATTTTTGGAATTTTTGCATGCTGATGAATTTAAAGAACAATCAATTTTTCAAAAATAATCTCAGTATAAACCAAATAAAATATTTATTTTCACATATGCCCAAAAATAAAAGTGATCCTTAGCAAAATGTGAGTAGTATATATAGAACCATTACTTAAGCTTATCCGAAGTTTGAAGCGCATTTCTGGGTATATATCGCAGTTACTTGTCATGGTATCTATCAATCTAACTATACTGATCTTATTTGGATCCTAACTTCTAAAACCACTTAAGCTTATTTTGTTAGATTTTAAAGGTATAAGTATTGTGAGAATACAGTGTATTGTGTACCACAAGGTCAGGGTCACAACAAGGGGTCACGATCTAATTACAACTGTCAAAACAAAAAACCTTGTACTGAAACCTCATTCTGTATCGTGGCGATGAGACAATTTTAGCACACTCAAAATGTACAGCATCATCAAACTTTAACAGTCAAGTGCATTGATGAATTGGCGCACCCACAAACTATGCAATAGAGAACAACATACATGAACTTAAATTGGCATATTTAAAACTGTACATTCAAAGTATATGTTTTATGAAAGACTGTGATCCAAACGTTGTAGTGTATACTATATAGTATGGCAAGTATGTTACAATTAGGTTTGTGCAGCCAAGATCAAAGTTACGAGAAACTTCTTGCACATAAATACAGTGTCACATATGTTATGCTGAAATTCATAAGCTAATGTAGTTTTGTGCCCCCTTCTCACATTGTTTTGATGTATTTTCATTAATACAGTAATTAAGATTGATTGCCTTTGGGTGACAAACGTGTGAGTGATAAAAGGTATCCAAAGGCTACATGTAAAATGTGCTAAGTGTACTAAAATGTTAATTGAGTAAATGTTTCTCCACTCTCAGTTCCAGAACCTGGAACCAACATTAGTGTCATCATTGGCGTTGTCTGTGGGATTGTGGCTTTCGCCATCGTGATTGTCCTTGTCGTTGTCCTTCTAAAGAGGAGGCAAAGGTATGTTCAGTTCTCATTCAGAATATACTAAAGAAAACAAATTTCAGGGTAGAAATACAATAATGGTAATTATAAGCACATGTCCTTGTAAAGATTATATACATGTTGTGGCATACAAAGTGTGCGAGGCTTTCGAACATACTTGAAATAAGAATGAAGATATGTGATTTTGAACCAGTTGCTATGTTATGATATAGTTGATTTAGGGCAGCAAGACTTGAAGTTTCCTTAATCGTTAAAGAAGTTCATCATTTTCACATTATTGTAGGTTTCACATACCTAAATCTGCTAATTTGCATCTGTTTCATGTAAAGATAGTGACTACATACTAGAAAACTGTGTCTGCAGTAAACTAGTGAGGACTATTAGGTTGTGCCATATATGTCCTTGAGTCTGTCTGTCAGGAAAATTTCATGCATGGATGCTTATGAGTAAAGAAAAATAATGACATGTAGTACATCCTGGGAAAGTAGAGTCCTGAGTGCAAAAAGTAGGACAGTGTGATCAGTGCTTGACCTTTCACCTTATCCTTTTTATACGACCGCCAAAATACGACGGACGTATTATTTTACGGTTCTAGTTTCTTCAGTGGTCTACAGTTCAGTCAGATCATGTGTTATTAGGGCCCCGTATCGGAGATACTGGTGCCCTATAGTAATCACTCTGTCTGTCTGTCTGTCTGTCTGTCTGTCCGTCCACAAATTTTGTTCCTGGCTGATAACTTTGGTATTTATTGACCCATATCCATGAAACTTGGTCAAGATGTTCAGTTCACAAAAATACACTTTGAGGTAAAAAGTCAAGGTCAAAGGTCGAGGTCATTAGGTGCAAAGGTCAAGGTCAAATTTTACATCTTTTCACTGATGAACATTTTGTTATGACATTATGAAGCAAAGTTGATCAGAATTAAACAAGGAGTCAACTGACCAAAGGTCAAGGTCATCGGGTCAGGGGTCAAGGTCAAATTTTGTAGCTTTTCACTGGTGAACATTTCGCTATGACATTGTGGAGCAAAGTTGTTCGGAATTTAACAAAGAGACACATTGAGGTAAAAAGTCGAGGTGAAAGGTCAAGATCAATGGATTCAAAGGTCAAGGTCAAATTTTGCATCTTTTCACTGATGAACATTTTGTTATGACATGATGAAGCAAAGTTGATCAGAATTAAACAAGGAGTCAACTGACCAAAGGTCAATGTCATTGAGTCAAAGGTCAAGGTTAAATTTTTGTATCTTTTCACTGGTGAACATTTCGCTATGACACTTTGAAGCAATGTAGCTCAGAATTAAACAAGGAGTCAATTGACCAAAGGTCAAGGTCACTGGGTCAAAGGTGAAGGTTAAATTTTGTACCTTTTCCCTGATGAACATTTTGTTATGACATTATGAAGCAATGTTGTTCAGAACTTAACACAGAGTCAACTGACCTTAGGTCCAGGTTACGGGGTCCAAAGGGTCAAGGTCAAGTTTTGTATTTTTCACTGATGAACATTTTGTTATGATATTAAGAAGCAAAGTTGGTCGGAATTAAAGAATAAGTCAACTGACCAAAGATCAGGGTCACTGGGTTAATGGTCAAGGTCATTTGGGTCCAAAGGTCAAAGACAAAGTGGATCTCTGACTTTGACCCGGCTCTTGATGGAGGAGGTATATAAGGTGAAATAAAACAAATTAAAGCTAACAAATGAGTATTGCACCAGTATTTACATTTCTGTTAGCCCAGCAAATATGGAGGTGGAAGGAAACAAGACTCACATCATAGTACATGTAAATTGTATATTTTGTTTCCTTGCGATTCTTTTTGAAGTCCAAATATCAAACATCAAGCTCAGCTTTATGGGCAGATTGCTTCTTGATGATTATGGGGGATATATTGCCACAAGACGGGGCCCTTACTGACCTGTCAGTGTTCTAGTTGTACTAATCTTTTGCATGGATGTTCATGTGGGGTCTAACAAGTACTATATGGATTTAATTTGGGAAAATAATTCCTATTTTTGGAAATTTTGGATGTGTTTGGAACTTAACTTTTCTCGTGCAATTTCTCGGTTAAAGTTTTGGTGCAAGTTTCTTCAGTGGTGTACAGTTCAGTCAGATCATGTGTTATTGTCCTAATTTTTGGCATGGATGTTCATGTGGGGTCTAAGAAGGACAATATGAATTTAATTTAACAAACAAAAAATCATTAGATAGGGTCAGACGGGCTTATTATGCATCCGTTTGCAGTGCTCTTGTTTAAAAGTTGTTTAGGGCATACCTTCTGTACTATTTCTCCTGGAGTAACGAAATTTGGTATGGAAGTATATATATATATATGTTGGCTGGCCAAGTGTGGAGTACAAGAAGTATGTCACTGTGACCTATATCCTGAGATAGGTCTACAGCTTGATAAATAAAAAATTGCCTTCCAATACTTTGCCTGGTTTTGGTTACAAAAGCGACACCTGTGTTCAGGTGTATTGTGTCTTGGTGTAAGATTGGGATTCCTGCCCCAACCCGTGGGGCCAGGGCAGGGCCCCAAAGGGAAAGTTAACCAATATTTCAGAAATATTCTTCTCCAGACACGGAGGTATACTTGGTCCATTTTCAGCAGAAAATTATTCAAACTTGGTTGGAATGATTATGATGCCAGATGGCAGTTAGATGATATGAGAAAATAAGATCCTGCCCCATCCCCAGGGGCTGAAGGGATGGGGCCCAAATGGAAAAAATGGTCAAAGGTTAAAAAATCTTCTTCATCAGACTGAGATATTTTACAAACAAATACTCTTCATGGATAAAAGGTCCTTAGGTGCATTATCTAAATGGTAAATTTTATAACCCCCCAAGTCATCTGCTCTCCCTTGGGGAGAGGGTAAAGTTCACTATAGTTTATATAGGTAAATAACACTTTTGGTATATTTTTAGGTCACCTGAGCTTTGCTCAAGTGACCTATTCTAATCGCTTTTCGTCCGTCGTCGTCCGTCGTCCGTCGTGCGTCGTGCATAAACTTTTACATTTTCAGCTTCTTCTCAAGAACCAGTGGATGGATTTTTTTCAAACTTGGTCAGAATCATCCTTGGTAGATGAGGCTTCAAAATTGTAAAATTGGGATTCCTACCCCAACCCCTGGGGCCAGGGCAGGGCCCCAAAGGGAAAATTAATCAATATTTCAAAAATCTTCTTCTTCAGACTCAGAGGTACTACACTCATTTTCTCTACGTGGAAAGAAAGATCATCAGGGGCTTTACTTAAATTGTAAATTTCAGGACCCCCGAGCTATCCGTTCTCCCTTGGGGAGGGGGTAAAGTTTACTATAGTTTATATAGGGAAATAACACTTTTGGGTATATTTTGACAACTTTCTGTAGGAAATTATTTTTACTTGGTGAGAATTATCCTTGGAGG